CTAGGGCGGGATTGGTCGGCAGGCGCACAGAATTACGGGGTAGAAAATTCCACATGTTGCCTAGCTCGGTTTGAAGTACTGCCTGTGTGTGTATGTGTGTGTTTGAGCGTGTATGTGTGTTTGTGTGGTGTGAGTGTGTTTGTGTGGTGTGAGTGTGTTTGTGTGAGTGTGTGTGTATTTGTTTGTGTGGTGTGAGTATGTAACTGCAGTGTTTTGTCAATAAATCACCCAAACTACTAAACAAAAACCAACCAGTCAGCAAATCAACCAACCAACCAATCAACTAGCCAATCAACCAGCAAAAACAACCAATCAATCAACCAAACAAATAGCCAACCAACCGGTTAACCAACCAATCAGCCAGCCAGCCAGCCAGCCAGCCAACCAACCCACTAACATCTTTATCGCTGGCACTCTTAACTTTATCAGCAATGGAGGACAGCATGCTAACGAACTCCTCTTGCTTGCCAAACTCGTCCCTCATCTGGTAGCCCACAACACTCATCAACGCTCCAAACATCAATCTGTACCTGTGTTGTTGTTGTTGTTAATGTTATCAATGTATTAGTTGCTGTTGTTGTTGTTAATGTTGTGTTGTTACTAAGTAATTTACAGTTGTTGTTAATGTTATTAATGTATTAGTTGCTGTTGTTGATGTTAATGTTGTTACCAAGTAAGTTACTGATGTGTTGTTGTAATTGTTAATGTTATTAATATATTAGTTGCTGTTGTTAATGTTGTTATCAATGTAATAGTTGCTGTTGTTGTTGTTAATGTTGTGTTGTTACTAAGTAAGTTACAGTTTTTTTTGTTGGTTTAATGATGTTGTGGTAGATGTTGTTTTTATTTTTTGTGTTTGTATATATCTAATTTTGGGGTTAGCCATTTTTCGTTGGTATATTTTTAGATTTGAATATATGCATAATTCCTGGTTAATTAAATTAATAAAATTGAATATTTTAAAAATTTCTTCTCGGAAGTACCTCTTGCGATGGTGGATGTCGTCAGCCGCATCTTTCAACAGCCTTCAAACCAATTTGATACAATTTAATGAACGGCTAATCAATCAATCAATCAATCAATCAATCAATCAATCAATCAACCAACCAACTAATCAATCAATCAATAAATCAATCAACCAACCAACCAGCCAGTCAACAAAGAGACCAACCAAACAACCAACCAACTAACCAATAAAAATAATGAGCTACTCGAACACTAGTGGCCGATCGCTCGAGCAGCAACTTCGCAAGAGCACTTGTGTGGTAAGGTTCAAATTTCAAAGCCTTCGTGATGGAAAATTAATCACCACCATCATTTTAACATCGTCATCGTCGTTATTATCATTAACGTCATCATCATCATCATCATCACAATCGTCGCCATCATCACTGTAGTCGTTATCAGGTCCACCACCACCACCACCACCCTCATCTTCTTCTCCATCGTCATCATCACCAGCACCTGGATGAGTTGTGGGAGGAGATCACAGAAATCATCAACGGCGAGCACCCGCAACCTGTCGACAGCCAGGCATCTCACTATGGTGTCCGTGAAGCTGTAGGTGGATGGATGAATGGATGATGGTGAATGAATGTGAATGAATGTGAATGAATGAATGAATATACACGTAGACAAGAGACACGCACACGCGCGGAAGAGAAAGAGAGAGATAGACATACGTACTTAGGCAATAGTTATAAAACCACCAACAAAGACACAAACCGAACAGCAGACACACAAACACACACACCCACACACACACACACACACACACACAGACACACACGTATACATACACACCTAGGCAATAATAACTGAAGCGCGTTCATGGG